GGGGTGGTGGATACTTTCCAATTGGAGGTCCATCGATGATCGCACGTGCCATTGTTCCAATCATCGAAAAATCCAAAGGAAAAGCGTTCGTTCGTGCTCCAGTTTCATCAATTCTTATAAATGAAGAGAATAAAGCTATTGGAGTTGTAGTAAAAGGTCATCAAATCTTCTCAAGAATCGTTGTTAGTGCTATCAGTTCAACAATAACGTACAAGTACCTTACACCTCAAACTCATCAACATTTGGTTCAATCTCACTTGAAGATTATAGAAAGTCCTGAGCTTGCCTCGGAAATCGGTTATATGTCAATGTTCATTGGTCTTCAAGGTGATTCCGATGAACTCAATTTACCGAAAAGAAATTTATGGATATTTCCATCATGGAATCATGATGAAAATATGAAGAAATTTTGTGATGATTACAATGCAGATTTTCCAGTTATTTTCATATCTTTTGCATCTGCAAAGGATCCAACATATCACACAAGAAACCCTAAGAAGAGTGTCGCATCAATTATTACTGTTGGCACCTATGAACATGTTGAAGATTACAAAGATAAACGTGTAAAACATCGCGGTGATGCTTATAGTCAACTGAAAGATCAATGGAAAGAAAGAATGTTAGAAATATTTTTAAAAGAATTTCCGAATTTAAAAGACAAAATAGTTTATGTTGATAATGGAACAACAGTTACGAATGATTTCTATCTTGGAACTTATCATGGAGCTACTTGCGGACTGGCGCATACACCAGAGCGATTTAGACAAGTGGAAATTCTTTCACCAACATCGCCAATCAAGAATCTTTATCTCTCAGGACAGGATATGCTCATCTGTGGAGTATCGGGCGGTCTTATGAGTGGATTTATGACATTATATGCTATTTCTTCTAGCTTGATATTTAAGTACCCAAAGCGCAACTGATTGTGTTCCATTCATACAACAAAACTACATTATGTTTCTATGGATTTTTTTCAGAAATTTGTAATGTATTGACATTAACTAATGTTTTTTTTCTGTTTCCTTTCTTTTTGTTTCTGTTGATTTTCCTGTTTCTTTTCGTTCTATCTTCGCAATACGCGAAACGTATACATATACGTGTGTGTGTTGTTTTTCTTTTCGTTCTTTCATTTTTCTTTGATCTTCTCGTGATCTCAACTATATCTTGTATTGTCGATCAAGGTCAAACAAACATTATATCTTAGCCTTGATCTTGTTCTCTATTACGTAATAATGTTATCTGCTACGCAATATCGTTGTCTATTGCGATAGATATATATGTTCTTTTTTTTCATAATAAACTTGCATTTACTTATTTACCTCAATACATGACAAAATTAGATTCAAATGAAACAAAAACTTGAGTGTAATTAAAATGAACTTCATAATAACTTATCATTTCATTGAAATTTATACTCAGATATATGCCTCCCCCTCCCCCCCCCCCCGGAAAAAAATAGTTAGACTCTGTATTTCGAATATATTTCCGCTATAAGACCACACTTTTTTAAAATTAATTCCATATTCTGAAAGCTCGTAGAGTTTTCTATCACTCTGTTTAATTAGATTTTAGTTTCGATCTATTCATTATCAAAATAAATTGAGGGTAATGAAAGCACCCTCGTATCCAGATTCCCACAGGCAGAATTTTGTATCCTCAACTAGGTTTTTAAACTTTTCGTCACTATAGAAATATCCTTCTTAAAAAGTAATTATGTATTCTGATAGACCTTGAAATTCTCTATCATCCTATATATTTAGCTATTGCCTTACATTTATTTGTTGAACAATAATTTGAGTACAATGAATGTACCCTCAATCGACAAGTATAAAAAATCTGCATTTTTTTTGCCACTTTTTAAAGTTTTCTCTTCAATTATTATTCCTATAGGAATAAGTTTTCCAAAAGAAATTACAAATTCTAATAGCGCTTGAAATTCTCTATCATCCTATGTATTAATGTAGTGTCTTGAATTTAAATAGCGAAAAAAATGCAGATTTTTGGTACTTGTCGATTCATGATGTGTTCATTGTACTCAAATTTTTTTTTACATAAATCAATATAAGAAAATGAGTAAATATACATAATGATAGAGAATTTTAAGCTCTATCAGAATACATAATTACTTTTCTCAAAAGATGGTTCTATAGTGATAAAAAATTTAAAAAATTAATTTTGACGTCAGTGACAAAATCAAGTTTATGGGAATCTGGACATGAGAGTGCTTTCATTGTTCTCAATTTATTTTGATAATGAATAGGTCGAAACTAAAATCTAATTAAACAGAGTGATAGAAAACTCCACGGGCTTTCAGAATATGTAATTAGTTTTACAAAAGTGTGGTCTTATAGCGGAAATATATTCGAAATACAGAGTTTAACTATTTTTTGCCGGCGGGATATACTAAAAAATCAAAATAAATTAATCATTAATCCTATGAATGTAATCCTTGTGAACATTGTCGTTTGATAAACATATCGACCATTGAATGAATAAATATTTCATAAATTGGGATTGGGTGTGGGTGTGGCTGTGGCTGTGGCTGTGGGTGTGGCTGTAGGTCTTCTCCTCAATAATATCCATACCCCACATCCACACACCACACCCCACACCCACCCACACCTACACTCATACCCAAAAGATCTATCTTTGACATCAATCACTTCTAACAGTCTAACTGTTCATTTAATTCGTCTGATTCATTAAGACCCAGCCCCCACCCAAAAAAGGTTGATTTTGTCAAATTTATCAATTTTTTTTAAATAGCGCATGTGATAGACCATCACGTCCGCTATCGAATGCACTATAGTTTATTTTGTTTATGATGAATTTTAAGGGTTTTACAGAGGTTTTTCTGAAAACCTTTATTCAAGAAAAATGACGTCTTTCCAATAATTCAATGTTTTTGCGCATTTCAATTTGTAACGGTAAAATATATTTCTTTCTATTGTACAGAATGTTATCTTGACTTTGATTCTGTCACGTAGCGAGATATATATTTATTTTTCTTTTACGTTCGTTCTCTACGCTCCCATCGTATTTGCTTTGATCTAAAAACAGAATTCGAAGTATACGAAAGAAATAGGTAATACGAATCTTTTAAACAAATGAGCAAAGAAAATATTCGCCAGAAAAAGAAAAGCAGAAGGTCCATTATGAGGCAAATTCGATCACAGCAGATGAAAAACAAGAGAATGGATTCATCATCGTCATCATTATCATCAGTAAACATAGATGATATGGATGACTTATTGGATATTAATTTAATTATTCACATCAAATCTTTGATTTCATTGCTGAAACAAACTTTCTGTTCTGAATGTAATCATTTATGGGATGGTTCACCATCTATCAAAACAAGAAATGGATTATACATGCATGTAGAATTTATATGCTCTAATTGTGGATGTATTACTCATTTATATTCATCACCACAAGTCCAAGATGGTAGACGTCAAGAAATCAATGCTCGACTAGAACTTGGTGCTACACTATGTGGCTTAGGTTATAATGGGATAATAAAATTATTAGGTGCATTGAATCTACCACCATCAACACACAACGGAAATATAGTGAAACACAAGAATTTATTTTAAATTATGTTGAAAAGTGTCAAGAACAATCAATGATCGCTGCTGTTGAAGAAGCAATTGCTGAAACTGATGGTGCACGAGAGCTAACACTTAGTGGAGATGGTGCATGGCTTACACGTGGTCATACAAGTGTACACGGCGTTTCAGCTATGTATTCCACAACAAAGCATCCAAAAATTTTAGATACTACCTGGTCATCTAAAAAATGTATTAAATGTCAGGGTGCGGAAAGTCTGCGTCATGTCAATCCTACTTTATTCAAAACGTTTCAAGAAAACTACAAATGCCAATTGAATTATACAGGCAAGTTGTTATAAACTATAAGCCGCTTCATAATAAAATTCTTTCTAATTCAGGTTCATCGGGTGGAATGGAAAAAGGGATGGTTCATGAAATGTTCTGTCGTTCATTAGCAAAATATAATACAACATATGTTTCTTATGTTGGTGATTGAGATGCTAGAGTACACAAATATTTGATCGATAATCCTCCATACCCTGATATTGATATTAAAAAACTCGAAGATACAAATCACTTTGCAAAAAGAATGTTCAATCGCATAATGAAAATCAAACGAGAAAATAAGAATAAGATTTTATGTGATAGCAAGAGATTTAGTGGCAAAGGTCGTATGACTGATGGTCAAGCTATTAAATTCAAGATATATTTTGCTAAAGCAATACGTGAAAATAAGACTGATCTAAATAAATTATATCAAAGTTCATGGGCAATATTCAATCACCATTATTCAACAAATGAAGAACCAATGCATGACCGGTGCGATCCCAAATGGTGTAAGTATCTCCAAGCAAAGTCAATTGGTCGAAACTTTTCTTACTCCAAAATATCTATTCCACGAGCATGTTTAGATATGATAAAACCGGTGTTTGAAGAACTATGTTCTCATACTAGTTTAGCACGTGCTGTGGGTGGAGGGTCTCAAAATGCTACTGAGGCCTACCACTCATTATTATAGACTATGGTCTCAAAACATCGTTATTGTTCATCAACAACTCTTCGTATTGGATTTGGATTATCTACTATCATTTATAATGAAGGATATGAAGCATTGAATAAACTATTTACAAGCATATTCTTGTCTATGGGCTATTATTCTACTCAATGCCTTCGTAAACTTGATGTTTTGAGAAACTCTCGTACTTCGCAAACTAAAAACAAGCATTTAAAACGTGTAAAAACAACAACAGTTGCTGCAAGTACTGCTTCAACTGGAAGTGATGGTGAAATTGCATATACCCCAAATGAAGAAAACCTTGATTCCATTGTAAACGATATTACACTAGAACTTAATGATATTGCATTAGAACTATCGGATGGTGACATTACTGATATATATGAAGCAGGTGGTGATGATTGATTATCGAAATATGATGACTGTTATCTCAGATTTTAAAAATACTAGTTATTTTATTATCATATCATTCATTAATCACATGTCATTTCCTAATTTCTGGTTTTTAAGGTCATTTAGATGAACCTGCTAATAAATTTTTGTCGTAATATCTTCAGCCATAATGAGTTCAAAGTGTCTTTTATTATTTAAGATGATAGAAAACCACTATTACTGGATGAAAAGTCATAAAGTACACTTCTAAAAAGTATTTTGCGTTTTTTTCAAAATGAGATTTTTTGTTTTTACGTTTTCGTGCGTCCCAGATTTCTCCACCATTTTGAAAGCTAGAAAGCTCGAGTTTGTTTCTAATCATAGCTAAGATCTGACACAACAACTTAAAAGAGTCGAATTTCTCGATTTCTCGATTTCATGATTGATGTCAGACGAAGAGAAAATGTTTGAGAACTTACACCCTACTAATTTCATATCGTGACGTAGAAGTTCTTTAAAAACCAAACTACAGAAAAATTAAAAAATCCGACTCTGTTAAGCTGTAGCTTTAAGTCTTGGGTACATTTTAAAACCAGCTCGGTTTTCCTAACATTTAAAATGGCGGAGAAATCTGGGACGCACGAAGACCTATGTTTTGAACCTTAATCTTAAGCTATCTATTGAAAAGCTCAAGATTTCAAGCTGAAATTTTCACCACGAGGTGCCCAGCCCAAGATATATCTACTCTGAAAGTTTCGTTAAGATTAGATGTTCTAAGGCAAAAATAAAATTTTGGGTGGGAGCTGGACCTTAATATCCTTTACTTACAACTACTTCTGATTCATCACCATCGATTGTTTTAATATATGTCATGAAGGAGGATGTGAGTGAGGAATCCAGTCTTCCCTTTACTCACATCCACACCCATTCCTGTACTCCACAGCCACACCCACTCACACCTCACATCCATACTTCGTGCAGTCAGCCGACTTAAAGAAAAATAAAACTAGACCTCTATTCGGTCCAAGGTCGACTAGAAAAGTCGGCTGACTGCACAAAGTGTAGTAGTCGACTTAACTAGAAAATTTTATTAATACCTATACAGTAAATATATTAACAATAACTAAATATTCAACGTTAACATGAATCAAATTTTGAGGCTATACAAAAACATGAAGATAATTTTTGTTCAGAATCTTCTCTTGTATATTGACACAAATAGAAGGTCAAAATGTCACTTGCTTGTTTTCAAATTTCTGATCAAGTTCAAGCAGCTATTATCATAGGAGCAACCGCACCTTGACGTCGTTGATAAAAAAAGAATTTTTGTGGCCATAATTCTGGTAAACTTACAAAACAAACAATTGGTAAAAATAAAACGACATAAGTAGTTAAATAGAAAAAATATGGTGCAACAGTACTACCAAAATGACTCATATTTGGTTGAGTTTGTACAAAAGTAATCAATGCTTGAGGAAAATTTATAGATAATGAAAGAATTGATATTGAAAATAATTGTATGATCATTTTTCGATATTTTTTCCAATGAAAATATCTTGTCGAAATACATTTTCTCCAAATCGTTCGAAAAACTAATGAAATAGTAAAAAATGCTTCCAAAATATTGCATAAAATTCCATTTAAAAAATAATCCCATGTATTGGTCCATGGTATATCTTGATAACATGGATATAAACCGCATCCTAAATCATTCGAATAAAAAATATTTTCACATGGTGGAAATAAAATTACACCAACATAAAATCCAATTAGATAAATTGAAATAATTATTAAAGGACAATAATGTGTATAGAATATTTTACGTCTTGGACGAAGAAATTGTCGTCGATAGAATACGAGAATGTGTCTTTCGAATGAAGCCCACGTAAGAAATACCTGTATCGCACCGTAAAATCCATAATCAATAAACCACCATAAAAGACATACATTTGTTGAAAATGGAAATGAATTTCCATGACCCATGCGCAATCCATCAAGTAAAAATGAATTATCAATAACTAAAATAATCAAACATAGAAAAAGTAATATCATTACAACATGATTTTGTAATTGACGACGTAAACGTCGCTTAAATGTTAAATGATAAAGAAGATATATAGTACAAAATAACGATGGAATTCCAAACATAAGATATGTCCAAAATTGTACTTTAGCTGATGGAATAAGTTCTTCTTCATAATCATAATCATATGAATAAGTACTATTTTCAGTTTCATTGTCAACCATGATCAATAGAACGACGCGTTTTGTTTTTTTGTGACAATACAATTTGTATGAAGAACAATATTTTCTTTTTTTGATCAAATTAATTCATTGATAAGTGCAGTGCCACGCGAAAGAATGGTCTAGAATCAAGAGGAAAAGAGTAAGAAACTATTCACATGAACTCTAATCAGATGAATACTCTTTTCTTACAACGTAGTCATATTGTTAAATATATTTGAGATATTTTGATGCCTAAAGTGAACAAAAAAAAGAAATTTTTTTAAAAATTCTTTATCTAATGCTCTTTATGAAAAAGATCATATTTTTAAAAATATGTTATTAAACTTCTTAAAAAAACAAATGCAAGAATTTTCTAATTCAACATGTAATTGATTGGCTTTGTAATCAATAAAAGATTTTGATTTGAGTTGATGAGTTCTAGACAATAACTCATCTAGAAATATTGTGGATGTAGTTTGAGGTAAAATTTTTTACTGACAAAAAGAAAAAGAGATCACAGAGAGATAGTTTTGATATCAAAACTAAAGATGTGAAGGATCAAGTTTTGTTGATTCTCGATGTCAGTCTGATCCGAATCATAATTCTATTAAATTTGATCTAGTTCCATCTTAAAGAAGACTATTTCAGAATTTGCTCGCCTTAAATCTATAAGGGTGTGAATGTTCTATTTACTCACATTCATACTCACACCTACATTTACACCCTTTTTCTTTATTTTTCATAATGATAAAAGAACATTTTTCAATAGTAATGTATTATCTGTAAACTAGGAGCATTCATAGGAAAAGAAAAGGATAAAAGATTGCGAATAAAAACGCGCTGTTGGAATAAAAAATTGCGTTTGTAAGACGCTTTTAGCATTTTGCCCTTGAGAGAACGCATTTTTTCCGCAAGAAAAAACCGCATTTCTTTCTGCCAGGAAGACATTCAGCAAAAAAATCGTTTTTAGGCAACAAAAAGACACGTTTCAAAAGAATGCTAAAAGCGATTTCAGGATGCGTTGCATTTTTCCAAGAAGACATTCATGATTGTTCTTTTTTTTTCATGAACAGTTTTTAGTACGCTATTTCCAACTTTCGAGTTTGTCAGTAGAAAGAGCATCAAAAGATATATATAGTTGACTTTTCTTATATTTCGGTGTTTCAAGCATCTCCTATGACAAAAAAGTTCATAAAAAGACCGTCCATGAACGCATCCTGGAAATGCTTTTAGCATTGTTTTGAAACGTGTTTTTTGTTGCCTAAAAACGATTTTTTTCTGAATACTTTCCGGGCAGAGAGAAATGCAGTTTTTTCTTGTGGAAAAAAATGCGTTCTCTTAAGGGAAAAAGACGTTCGAAAGTGTATTATGAATGTGTTTTTATCCGTTCTTTTTCATCTTTTTTTCCATGGATAATGATAATTGTTTAATGAGAAGGAAACGAAACATTAAAGAAGATTCATGCCGACTCGACTTATCTCTTTCTTAATTATATTATACTTTCTATTGTTTTGAATAAAGTGCTCGTTTCTGCTTGAAGTTTTGTTGCTAATGAGGGGATCTCTCCAGGTGTAAAATCGCTTTTCGCTCGAGGCTATTGCCATTAGATAGACTTTGGCGAGTAAACCCCTCTCCGTAATAGAAGACCCTCTCATATTAGAAACCTTCCTCCCTTATTACAAGCCTCCTCAAGAAGGGTCAATGTGAAAGATGTATTAGAAGCCCCCTCATTTTAAAAAAATTTTTGAAACTTTTTATCATAAAACTTTCAAAATTCAAGATCTTATGATAAGAATTTGTTTGATTCTCTTAGTTACCAGCATAAAAATCTTAAAATCTCCTAGAAAATCGTTTGAACAACTCTTAAAAATCCTGAAAATCTC